AAAAAAATTAGCCAGGCATTGTGGTGTGCGCCTGTAATCCCAGCTATTCGGTAGGCTGAGGTAAGAGAATCACTTGAGCCTGGGAAATGGGGGTTGCAGTAAGCGAGGTCATGCCACTGCACTTCAGCCTAGGCAACAGAGTGAGGCTGTTTCAAAAAAAGAAGAAAAAAAATGCAAATGGGTTGATGGCAGAGGGGGATTTATATGGAGAAAGCTTAAAAATTGCAAAATCACTCAAGTCTTCCCTTGGTGAAGTAAGATGACCTCTCTTCTCTGAGGAACTAAGGCTATTATTTCAGAATCTCATTTCTAGTTCTCGGTTTAAACCCACCTCAGGGTGGTTAGGGGAACAATGAAAGAATAAAAGTCAAGATTAATCATCAGCATTTTTACAGCCTGTAGATTTTTGTGAATATCTATGAAAAGCTCTCACATTATCCCTCTAAGCATCTAAATTTCTTTCAAAGTTAAGGCTTGAGCTGACCAGGTCCTCTTAAACAATAAACTTTGGTAATTGCACTACTCTCTAATTGCCTCTCTTGTCCAAAATAGATTTCTAGGAATTAAACATTGTTTTTTTAAGAAGCCGCCTTTGGTACAGATTGCTGTCTTTTAGATAGCACTTTGGCAGTGAAATAAAGAAAGTTTTAAGAGATCAAGTGGTTTTATCCAATTCATCTCCATTAGTGAAAGCTATTGAGAGTACATTGTGGTTCTTTATTCCACCACTGAAAACTGATGCTCCTAGCTGGTATTATTCTTTTTTTGTCTCAGTGGTGAACTGGGACTCCAGCATAAAGCAGATAATTGCGTGTTGTTGACTTTTGCCTGATTATAGAACCATGACACCGCAGCACTCAAGATTGAAACTCCTTGCCTTGTGGAAGGAAACTGGAGATCAATTATTATCCTCATCCAAGATAAGAGAAAGGCATGTCCTATATATTTTCCCATTGTTTGGGGTTGATCTCAGAATATATTCAGCCTTTATCCCTTCTTCAAATTAAGCTTTCACGAAATGGCTAAAATAGGCCTTTTAAATTTCTTTTCTACTCAGGAAGCATATTATGTTTCTCATTTACTAAGTACAGAAAGCGTTACTTTATAGTGATTCCTGAATTACGTGTGGGCAGGAGGTTGTTTGTGGAGTTAATCCTTGTTCTCATTCCAGGAAGCTGGATTTCAGCAAAAGAGTTGGAATCTGGAGAAAGCTCATCCTTTTCAATTTCATCAGAGGAACTACTGACCATACCATGTGGTGGGATTTCACATGGAAAGTGATTCTGGTAGGCTGGGCTCAGTGTTTCACACCTGCTAATATAATCTCAACACTTTGGAAGTCCGAAGCGGGTGGACCGCTTGAGCCCAGGAGTTCAAGGCCAGCCTGGGCAATGCAGTGAGACCCTGTCTCTATAAAAAAAGACAAAAATCTGCCTGGTGTGGTGGCACACGCCTGTAGTCTCCCAGCTACGTAGGAGGATCACTTGAGCCTGGGAGGCAGAGGCTGCAGTGACTCAAGATCATGCCACTGCACTCCAGTCTGGATGGCAGAGTGAGACTCTGTCTCAAAAAATAAAAATAAACAAAGATATTCTGTTGGGAAATTGTCTTACATGTCTTGAGTTTTGCTTTCCCTACAAATGTTTAGACCTCAGTCCTCTAGTGCCCTTGCTGTCTGCAATTCTGCACCAAGCCCTCATGTCACTGAACCCATTCTAAGTCACAGGGACTAAGAAAATCATTCCAGATTTCCCATCCGGGCTGAGACCTGGGCCAGGTACTCAGGCACTGAGGTCTTCAGGAAGAGCCAACACTGAGGCCAACACCAGAAATGTTATGAGGTGCTCTGGTTGGAACGTAGGCCTGAGAGGGATGGGTTAACTCTGCCTGAGTGGGGATGGAGGGCTACAGGTTATTTAAGGCCCTGGATTGATTCTTGGAAGGTAAATGGTTATCTATTACCTGATTGATGTTTTTTTTTTTTTTTTTTTTTTTTTTTTTCGTTTTTTTTTTTTTTTTTTTTTTTTGAGACGGAGTTTCGCTCTTGTTACCCAGGCTGGAGTGCAATGGCGCGATCTCGGCTCACCGCAACCTCCGCCTCCTGGGTTCAGGCAATTCTCCTGCCTCAGCCTCCTGAGTAGCTGGGATTACAGGTACGCACCACCATGCCCAGCTAATTTTTTGTATTTTTAGTAGAGACGGGGTTTCACCATATTGACCAGGATGGTCTCGATCTCTTGACCTCGTGATCCACCCGCCTCGGCCTCCCAAAGTGCTGGGATTACAGGCTTGAGCCACCGCGCCCGGCCACCTGATTGATGTTTTAAGACACTGTTTCCATATTCCTGCCACTCTATTTTCACCCAGACTGTATAAGGTAACATGTTCTTAACAGGGTCCACGAGCCAGAATGAGACTTGATGTTGAATCTAAGCTTTGTATCTAACTCACTAAAGGTCCCTGCATAGGCAGGCTATTTAGCATCTCTATATAATTCAGGGGCTTTTCTCTTACACTAACTTTCTATGGTAGAGTGAAATCGACGTACTGTACACAAAGTAGCACACAGTAGGTGTCTGAAAATATCTCCTCTTAAAGCACAGAAGTGCACAGACCCAGCAGCATCTACCATTGACCGTCCGAGGCACTGGCCCGACAGAAAGGGTCTGACACCTTGCTTTTTCCTGCATGAAGCTCTCCAAGTGTGTGGATTGCAGCAAAGAAGAACCAGTGTGGCCAAACCACATAGTATTTAAATGAAGAAATCCACTTCAATTTTTGAAATGACACTCTACAGTTAATGTGTAACCATTTTTCTGAACAAAGACACAATCCTACAACTGCCAAACCTATATGAATTAATTTTTTTTTTTTGAATCAAGAGTTCACTCTTGTTGCCCAAGCTGGAGTGCAGTGGTGCAATCTTGGCTCACTGCAATGTCTGCCTCCCGGTTCAAGTAATTCTCCTGCCTCAGCCTCTCAAGTAGCTGGGATTACAGGCATGTGCCACCATGCCCAGCTACTTTTGTATTTTTAGTAGAGACAGGGTTTCTCCATGTTGGTCAGGCTAATCTCAAACTCCCGACCTCAGGTGATTGGCCCACCTCAGCCGCCCAAAGTGCTGGGATTACAGGCGTGAGCTACCGCGCCCAGCCATGAGTTAATATTTTAATTCAAGTTTTCTATTGAAGTATGGCATACATTTTGAAACATGTAATATGCAAATGTACTGCTCCATGAGTTTCACAGAGTGCACACACCTAAATCAAGAAACAGACTATTTGACCCACCTTACTTCTCTCTGCATGGACTGGCTTTGCCTGGTTTTGAACTTGATGTAAATGAAACCACACAGCATGTACCTGTTTGTGTCCTGCTTCTTTCACCCAACATTCCATGAGATTCATGTCTGATGAAACGTTTGGCTGTACAGCCTGGTGTGGCGGACCATGCCTGTAATCTCGGTGCTATGGGAGACAGAAGCGGGAGAATCACTTGAGCCCAGGAGTTGAAGAGCAACCTGGGCAACATAGCGAGACCCCATCTCTACAAAAAACAAAAAGTAAAAACATTAGCCAGGTATGGTGGCGCATGACTGTCAGCACCTGTAGTCCCAGCTACTCCAGAGGCTGAGGCGAGAGGGCTGTTTCAGCCCAGGAGTTGGAGCTACAATCATGCCACTGCATGCCAGCCTGAAGGACAGAGGGAGACCGTCTCAAAAAATAAAAATGAAGGCCGGGCTCGGTGGCTCATGCCTGTAATCCCACCACTTTGGGAGGCTGAGGCGGAAGGATCACTTGAGGTCAGGAATT